CCGTCCATCTTGACACATTGTTTGCATATGTTTGACATATCTCGTTCCCACGATAGAAACTGCAGCTGATAGTGCGGGCTTTTTCACGTCATTCTTTTAAAGCCAAGTATAGGTGTCTTTCCCAGTTGTTTTCACAGGCCGACATGCTCCAGTTTGCGTTGGACCGGACCATGTGCCAATGGGTCATTGTTGGTTGGCAGTTGTCACCCATGGGTTGGCCTTCGTCAAACTTTTCAGACCTTGGCATGCCAGGCTTTGTCAAAGAAGTTGTTGAAAGCTGCATCCGATTTCTTGGCTCCACAGCGTTTCACTCCTAGCTCGAACACATAAGCAAGCTGACCACAGAGGACGACAATTTGGAACGGATAGCGGTCTTCACTGCGAACGGAACGTCCTTTCCATTTGTGGGATAAATGATGATATCATGATGATAAATCGATATAAATGCTACAAACTCAACAACTCCAAATCTTAACCAAAAAATGCACCCGTTCCACAGAGCTGCACTTGTTGATGCGGGAATCTGTCCAGTCGCAATGAGGGTGAAGCCACCATGACACAGGTGCGTCACCAGTTTTCAAGATATGTCATGAATGGCCATGGCATACATCGGCATACATGGGCATACCACGACTTTCTGGAATCCATTGATTGATCATTTGAATTCCATTTGAATTCCACGTCAGGCAGAATCTTCTGAGGTGCCTTGTGGCACTTGTAATGCTGCTCTGAATGCTAACAATTTTGAGAGGAGAAGCGCAAGGAAACAGACTTGACCTGACTTGACCAACGTCAACTATAGATAACTAAAGTGTTTATAGATTTTTTAGTTGCAAGGAGTTGTGAGAGCATGCCATTTCAATCTTTGCACAGAAGCGATCTATTCGGCTGCAAAGTCTCTCTGGTGGCCTCGCCCTCAGTGTGTCAGTGTGTATTACACAACAGAGAGAGGGCAATCCACACAATCCTCTTGCATATATTTTGCATATTTTGCATGTCGACAAAATCCTGTTCCAGTCTCTTTTTTTTTGTTTTTCTCGATGTCCCTTTCCGTGAGTAAAAGATCTTCAGATAGCACCCTGAAAAGCCCTTTGGAGATTCTGAGATAGTCTGAGTGTCACCCCCTCCTGCTTATGATCTTCAGACGCACGTTGGTGGTTTGGATGTTCCGGCCGAGATTTCCCTTTTTGTTGTGCCCGTGCTCCTACTTTTTCAATCCCCCCAAGCACAAGAAAATCTCTTCGCAATCTTTGCCGTCCTCACTCCTCTTCACTTTTGGGAGTCTTGAAATGTACCATATGAAAAGCGTAATCCTTTTGGAATCTTCGAAATAGCCAGGTTTTCACAACGAAAGAGTCCTTTTCATCCACTTCCTCTCATGGGATTTGGAGGCAATTCCTCAGGGAGAGAGCCTGGCAGCCCGGTTGAGAGTCTAGAGGACAAGAGGAAGGAGGCTTTCTTCAAGGCCGGCCTCCGGAGGAATTTTGGGCCATTTGTCCGTTTGAACACTTCCATTACTTCCATTGTTCTGATCTTGGAACAACTCAACAGAAAGTTCAACATGCAAAGAGAATGAAAAGAACAACAAAGGTTGAACATTAGCAATAATATATTATATATTATATGTAATATATATTATATTATATGTATAATATATATACACAGGACTTCCTGGTCGTGGTTTAACCATGATCCATCACAACGTTGTGGTTTTACCAGAATCCATGCTTATATTATGATCTAAGGAATAACTCATCATTTCATGATGCTGGCTGCTATTCCAAAGTTATCTGATGTTCTGAAAGATATCACCTTTAGCTGAATTTAGCACAAATGTGTGGACTGGTGGTTTTAGCAGCCGTGATCACACCGTGAGATAACCATGAGACCCCCCCTGAACGTCGTGATTTTGTGTATTGGCGTCAAGGTTTTCCCGTGAGCCAACCGTGAGCCAACCGTGAGCCAACAGTGACTAACGGCTACCCTGTGTGTGTCTGGTGGTATAGACACGAGAATGGTGATGGTGAAGCATACATTTTACTTGATCAACATGTGTTTTAATTCATGAACATGAGAATTATGATGATAAAATCTATACCTTAATTTGGCGATGTATGCACGTCGTGGTCTTACCGTGTCTTTCGTGTACCTCGTGGTTTAACTATGTCTTTCGAAGTTCTGGGTATATAATATATGTTAAGAACCAACACCCTCTCACAACATCAGTTGTGCCAATGTACATATGTGCAACATCTCGGTTCAACAAGGCCTTGAGCCTATTGTATGCCAACAGACAAAAGGCGCGTACAGCAACAGCTGCAACAGATTGACAACAGGCTGCCTTGTGATTTCACATGGTAGCGGAGCAGTGATCCTGGAAGCATCCAGGTGAGCTCCAACAGGCAGAGGGCTTGATCCCAGAACACTGGGGGACCCTCAACAACAAGGATGGCAACGGCGTATGAGATAGGATCGCCAACAGCAGGAGAAACACAAGCAGAAGCCCTAGCATCAACACACAGGCTGAAGTTGAAACCTCCAACATACGATGGAAACTACGCAACATTCGAGGAATGGAAGTACAAGTTCTCAGCATACATGGGCCTACAAGACAACATCTTTCCACAACTGCTGTCAAGAGCAGAAAGAGCAGCAACGGTGCTCACTGATGCAGAGCTGCTTGGAGCAGCAACAACAATAGAGGAAGGAGAGAAGTGGACACAACTGTGCAACAACCTCAAATACATCCTTATCAACATCACCAGCGGTGCAGCAGCAACAGTTTGCAGACAATACCAAGACGCAATGTGCCTAGACGTCTACAGGCAACTGTGCAACAGGTTTGCAATACCTGTTGGAACAAGAAGCATAGGCTACCTCACAAAACTACTCAAGCCAACTTTCGACACCAACAACTTTGAGGAGTCCTTCTCAACATGGGAATTTGAGCTTGCACGTTACGAGCGTGACAACAATGCACAACTACCAGACCAAGTGAAGATAGCAGTTCTCATGAATGAGACAAAAGGACCACTCCAACAACACTTACACCTCAAGCCAGCGCAACACCAACATATGCTGAAGTGAGGACAACAATCATGGAGTACTACAGAACCACAACTGCGTTCTCAAGACTTCAACAACAGTCGTCTTCAGCAGTCAGCAGCAACTTAGGAGGAGGCCCAGCTCCAATGGATATTGGAGCAACATACAAAGGCAAAGGAAAAGGAAAGAGCAAAGGAAAAGGATTCAACAAAGGAGGTCACAAAGGAAAAGGATACCAACAAGGAAAAGGCTACGGAGGCTACGGCAGTTACCACAAAGGAAAGGGCAAAGGAAAACAACAGCAATGGTATCAGCCAAAAGGAGTAGAGAAAGGAAACAAAGGAAAGTCGAAAGGAGCTCACAACAAAGGAAAAGGAAAGAATCCAACAGCAATATGCTACAGATGTGGTCAACAGGGCCACTTGGCAAAGGATTGCCGAACAGCGGTGTACAACATGGCAGAGACACCGCAGGAACAGGACCAGGATGGAACATCCCAATGGTATGACCCAAACAGTGGGTATGACAACTACTGGTACAGCAACGACCAGTCAGGCAACTATAACATCCAGCCAGCCCAGCAACAACAACAACTAGCTTTGCCAGCGCCACAAACCACAACGCAGACACCAACAATACAACTTGTGGGAGCACTGGGCCATCAGGCAGCAAGTGCCCACAATGAAGCAACCACCACAGCTCAAGCAGTGCAGCAGCAGAGAGGAGACAACGAGGTAGACGTTATGATCGACAGTGGAGCAGCAACACCCGTTTGTCCAACATGGTTTGCACCAGACACACCATTGTATCCATTACAGCAAGGATAAGGACCTAGGTTGAGGACAGCAACAGATGAGGATATCTCAGTACATGGCTACAAATGGGCGTACATGCACAATACCAACAAGCAAACAATAGTTGTTCCCTTCTATGTGTGTGATGTGACGCAACCCATCATGTCAGTAACAAGACTGGCAGAACAAGGGTTCAACACATAACTTAACGAAACACCAACAATCACACACACCAAGGGATTCAACTCAACACTCAAACAACGAGAAGGCCTATACTTCTTGCCAATTGTGCTGATCACATTTCCAGCCAACTTGAGGCTTGAAATCAACCAGACAGCAGAAGGAACAACAGCAAGAATAGCACCAGTCACACTGACTCCAGCAGGCATGGAAATCCTTCGCAACAAGAATGATCTATGGACATTCAACAGCCAAGGTTTCTTGGTAAGAATGCACAGAACAACACGCAAGGCATTGTTCATGCCAGACAGCAGATGTCCAGTTCCAACAGAAAGGTTGGAGAATTACAGAAGAACAATCATACAAAGACCAAACAACAACACAGAAGTCATCGAAGAAGCATACCAAGACCTCGACAAGAAGCAACAGAAGAGGATTATACAAGGAAACAACTGGACAGGAGAACATGGTTCAAAGTGAAACGTGGAACAGTACTTCCAGGCAACATACCACCACAACCAACACTTCCACCAGCCAAAGAGCCAGCGACACCATCTCAACAAACCACAGTTGACCAACCACAAGCACCAATGTATCGACACAACGTGAAGAAGCCTCTCACAGAGGTAAGGCCAACAGGTCAAGCAATGACCACAACGCAGCCATATCAGACAGCAATTCCACATCCAAAGGAAGTCAGTCCAACACAGGACTATTGGATCAAGGAAGGTCCATATTGGAAACGTGTGCATGTCCAACCAAGAAGGGACATGTACATTCCACAACAAACAGATGATGGACCAGACGTGACAAGACTGACAACATGGAGACAAACAATTGTGAAGCCAACAAGTGGCAACAGAGGATATAGAATAGATGATGACTGGACGACAAAGAGGAAAGCAACACTCGACATAGAGTGGACAGGCTCAACAAATTTTGAAGAAAATGCAGCATACAAAGATGAGTTCATCACAGATGAGCCAGAGGAGCAACAAGAAGCCAAGAGAGCAAAAGGAGTGCCAACACCACAACAACCAACAGAACAAGAAAGAAGAGAACACGAGCTCACACACCTTCCCTACAGAAGCTGGTGTCCAACATGCGTACAAAGCAAAGGAAGACAGGACAATCATCCAAAGCAAACAAGCAAAACACCAGTGATCCAAGTGGATCTGATGTACTACAAAGCACTAGGAGAAAAGCAAACAACATCAGTCCTTACAGCAGTGGACGTTGAAACAGGCATGTGTATGGCAGTCCAACTTGAGGACAAGACACAACACGTACAATACCTGTCAGTTTGCCTTCAACAATTCCTGATGGAATGTGGCAGAACACATGCAATTCTCAACAACACCGTTCTTCAATCAGACCAGGAAGACTTTATCATCTCCTTGCTCAAGATGGTGGCAACAGCCATGGGTAGCAACATAGCAGTCAGGCAAGCACCAGCCTACACATCACAAGCACAAGGAAGCGTTGAACGTTTCCACAGAACATTGATGGGCCAAGTCAGAGCCCTCAAACTCCAACTGGAGACCAACTATGGCATCAAGCTCAACAGCCAGCATCCCATCATGCCGTGGCTTGTCAAACACGCAGCATACCTGCTCAACAGGTATTCCATCCACTCAGATGGAAACACAAGCTACTATAGACGATGGGGCAAAGAACACAAAACACCAATATGTGAATTTGGTGAAACAGTTCTTTACATGCTACCAACAGCAAAGCAGATGCCAAAGATGGAAGCAAGGTTCTACCCAGCCATTTGGCTAGGTAAGGACAACTCAACAAACGAGAACATACTTGGCATCAGCAACAAAGTGGTCAAAGCAAGGACCATAAGAAGACAAATAAAGCCAGACAAGTACAACAAGCAGTTGATGGACATCATCAACTCTTCGCCAGCCATGATACCACCAACAACACCAAGCATTGTGGTACTACCACAAACTGCTGCAGCAAAGCAGCAGACAACAACAAGCACACAGACTCAGCAGAGTCCACAACCAAAAGCCTTGGTACAACCACACACTACACCACCACCAGCACTTACAGACCTTCCAATGGCAACAGCGCCAGCAACTCAGCAAGCAAAGCAAGCACTTCCAATGCCAACACAAGGCAAGAGAGAAGTAACAGACGAGATTACACAAGGCAGCTCACCAAAGCAAGCAAGGACAACAGAAAGAGCCACAGCAGCCAGCCGACCTGACACAGCTCAGGAGCCACCAACAACAAGGATGAGGATCTCACAAGTCACAGTCACAACGAAGAAAGGACAGAAGATAGAAGCAACCTCCAACGAAGATGAACAGGAGATACAAGCTGAAAAGATTCTCCTGGAACCTTGGGTGAACAACACCGAAGGTTTAGACAAGGAACAAACAATAGAAGGAATGAAACAAGAAATCAAGTCAATGAAGGAACAAGGTGTATATACAGAAGTACACATCAGCCAACTCACCCCAGAACAACGCAAGAAGATCATCAAGTCAAGATGGGTTCTTCGACAGAAAGGCAACACAGTTCGAGCACGAATTGTAGCAAAGGGCTACACAGAGGAGATCAATGACAACGACGACATCTTCGCGTCAACACCAATCTTCTGCGTTCTGAGGATGCTACTCGTCTTAGCACTTTGCAACAACTGGATCTGCCTCACAGGAGACATCTCAACAGCCTTTCTACATGCCGCAGCAGCAACAGCAGATCTCTTTATGTATCCACCAGCAGAGTTCTACAACGCCTTCGATCAAATCGTTTGGCGACTCAACAAAGCCATCTATGGCTTACGCAGCAGCCCAAAAGCATGGCAAAATCACCTGGCTGAGGTGATGCAACAACTTGGACTACGACGACTTGTCAGCGAGCCCAACGTTTACGCAACACCACAGGGAGATGCATACATACTATGCTACGTCGACGACTTGCTCTTCATCGGACAACAGGAGACGGTCAACAAGCTGTTCAAGAGCATCCAGCAACACCTCCTACTCCGTCCGACAGGAGAACTCACAGTCGGCAACACCATCAGCTTTCTGGGCAGAAACATCTGCAACAAGGGTGACTACTATGAGATCAGTCTCGCGGACAGCTACACGACAGAGCTGTTAGAAGAAGCCAACATGCCCAACTGCAATCCAGCACCAGCACCAGGCACTAACACTCTGAAAGCAACATCGGAGATGGAACAAGAACTCAGCAAAGAAGAACATGCAGCCTATCGAAGGATGGTTGGCAAGCTACAATGGATGACCTACACAAGGCCAGACATTGGCTTTGCAACAAAGGAGCTTGCAAGAGCACTGACACAGCCAACAACAGCAGACCAGCAGAAACTGAAACACTTACTCAGGTACATCAAGGGAACACAACATTACAAACAATACGTGAGACCTACAACTAAGACACCAACAGCTGAAGCAGTACCAGACATCCAAGTCTTTGTCGACAGCGACTGCGCAGGATGCGCAACTACAAGGAAGTCAACAACAGGATTTCTAATCAAAGTCTTCGGCGCAACAATCCACTACGGAAGCAGAACACAGGCAACAATTGCGCTGAGCAGCGCAGAAGCAGAACTCTATGCGATCAACACAGGAGCAACAGAAGCCTTACACATCAGCAACCTCCTGAAAGAAGCTCTCAACATGAAGAAAATCAACATCCGCATACACACCGACTCATCAAGCGGAAAGAACATGGCAACAAGGATTGGATCATCAAAGAAGGCCAAGCACATCGAGCTCAAACACCTGTTTATACAACAGCTGGTCGCACATGACCTCGTGAGGATTGTCAAGATCAACACCGTTCACAAACAGCCGACATCTTCACCAAGTATGTCGCGACAGAGACGCTTTTGCGTCACATCAGTGATGTTGGCATCAGCACCCAGCGTCACTGAACAACAAACAACAAAGAGCAACAACAACAACAGTTTCACTGCAGCCAGGCGTGTTAATGTGCGAGCGCGTGCACAACGTGCGAACATCGTGCGTGGCATGCACACACAAACATACATACTTTTGAGCCATGGTGTCAACAAACGTTGACAACATGAACTATCCCATAGTGATCCCCTATACTTCAACGTGGAGTAAATGAACAAGATACTCATACAGTGTTTCAACATGATCAACTATGTCATATACTTCTTCAACATGATGTGCGCTACATGATTGTGGACGTGTATGGCAACATGTTTGTTTTAGACAACATGATGGACTTCGAACACAGTGTTTCAACAGTTTCTGAATTCAGCATGTTTTTGTCTCGCAGACCTTTTTTGATGATGTCAACATTTTGTTGACAACAAATGATGTTCACCGCAGCCTTGTCTGATCAACAGCTTGGTGAACAATAACGTCTTGAACGCCAACAACTTTGAGATGGCCACCAAGTTCGTCACACCTGAGGTGACCAACACGATCCATGTGGCAACAGGTGTAGAACACTACACCTCGGTCTACAACCTTGTGGACATGAAGGAGTTTGGCAACATTTTCAAGGTCAACACTGTGGGCCAAGCACTCACCGCAGACGAGGCCTTTCAACAGATCTGGGTGTCTTACCCAATTGCAAATCGAGAAGGAATACAGGCTCAGCAACAAGGAGCTGATGAACCAACATCATTTCTCCTTGCATGGACAGGTGGCAGAGATCTTCAACAGATACAGCTGGGAGAAAGGATTTGGATGGACATACAACGTCGTGGTCAACATCGATGAAGCCATCAGCGAGGAGAGCCCAACACACTGGGCACACTATGCTATGCGCCAAATCATGGAGTATGGTGGAACACAGCTCATGGTTCAGGTCAACCAGACATTGGCCTACAAGCTTCTCCACTACGTTGAGAAGTTCAACATCAGCGTCGAGCCCAACACGAACTTGACCACAGATTGCATCAGAGGATCAACAACATTCTCTGGTCGATTCGTTGATCGAATGATTCAACAGGTCATCACTGAGACCAACGAGTTGAATCAACAGGAAGCCATGGAAGTTGAAGCTCCAACAAATGTGGAGCTTGGCAACACGTTGGTTGCCAACAACAACGCCTAGGCCAACAAGATGGATTGAGGAAAAGGGGAGAAACTGCAACTCCCTTGGCTCAACAGCCTAAAACAACAGAGATGCTGATGAGTGCAACAGGCAGTCCAACACCTGAGAGTACCGACAAATAGATGGCACACTAATACACTTAGACAACAGTCTTTTGTCAATACCTTAGTTTTGTAAAGTGTACAGGTTGGCTGACCCAACATAGAAACAACATAATGTCGTTACGGTTCAACATGTTAGTAGTGAGATTTCAACAGAGTGATGTTTGAAACAACATCAATCTGAGGGGCGGTGTTAAGAACCAACACCCTCTCACAACATCAGTTGTGCCAACGTACATATGTGCAACATCTCGGTTCAACAAGGCCTTGAGCTGATTGTTTGCCAACAGACAAAAGGCGCGTACAGCAACAGCTGCAACAGATTGACAGCAGGCTGCCTTGTGATTTCACAATATATATATATATTTATAATATTAATATGTCAGAACAGCTCTATATGAGAGTCGTTGGATGCCTTGGCGGATTTTGCGCCAGGTGCAGGCTGCGAAGGCGGCCCAGTTGCAGCGACAACAGGAGATACGCGTGGGCGAGGCCCAGAATGGGAGCAATGGTGGAGATGAGCTGAAACAAGACTGAAACGATATGAACAAAACCTGAAAACATGCAGAAAACTCGAGGTTTGAAGAAATAAGAGTTGTTCGGCAAGACCCGGGCATGTGCAAGAAGATTTGCCAGGAATGGAGCGAACATTTGAAATTGCCCGCGAACCGAACACCTGAAGCGTCCCTCGGAAAGAAGTCGGCACACTTGGACACACTTTTTCGCACAGTTCAATCTCTGTGAGACCTTTTGCAACGCTGACTGCACTTTTGTAATTTGCAATCTCTAGATTCATTCTAGTTCTCTGGCTTTGCACTTTTGAAATTGGATCATTTCGTTGTTTTGAAATCTCCAAAAGATTCATTTCGTTGTAAACAACCAATGGATTGGTGGCTTGGTCACCGCCCCTTTCGTTTGGTTCCAGGATGATGAACTTCTGGGAGGAGGTCAAGGCATGGAAACATGACATTTCAAGGAGACCTACAGGATGGTTTCTGATAACTATTGATAACTGATATCTTCTGATATAAATGATGAATATTTCTGGTGGAACATATAGGATATCTATATAATGAATTCTAATGATATCTTTGATATAATCCACAATGCAAGAAAGGACTATTATGGACTATTGATGCATTCAACAGACTCTCATTGACGACTTTGCCAGATTCGCCTCCTCAAGCGCTTCGGCAGCTTGCACATGGCAGTTGGAGGTGCAGATCGCAGATGAGTTGATCTATACAGTGTGTACAGTGTGCGCAATGTGCAATGCAAGCAATGAGGCTTGGCAAATTGGATAGCCGTTGAAGATGTTGAAGAGATTTTGGCCTTTTTTGGCCGGCAAAATTCTCAGGTGAACATTCCGTTTCCTTCATCCAGTTCTGCGAAATTCTCAGGCAAGATGATAGTAAGACAGCTGCGGGTGTTCCCGATGCGACAGTAAATTCGATGCTTTGCGCTGTACGGTGCTGTGCTGTGCGGTGCCCATCGGTGCCCGGTGCCCTGTGCCAGGGTGATCCACTTTCCGCTTCACCAGAGTACTTGCAGACACATCTTCGGGCAGGCAGACGCGCCGAGGGCAGGGTAGAAGTGGAAGGCATAGAAAGGGCTCCCCCCCGGATGTGCCCGAGAAATGCCTTCCGGTCTGCGGTTCGCATGGCTCCGCGCAGGTCTGTGGAGGCCATCGAGAAATGCCCGTGGACGCCTTCAAAGCTCTGCTGATGGAGAGGACGACGCAACGCAGCGATGCAGCGACGCAGCGACGCAGCGACTGGCACTGTAGTTACTGTTCTTTCTTAAGTTACAAAGTTCTCAAATGTTCTCAAGTTCTTTCTTCGATGTTCAGTTGCAGCAGTTGCAGTGTTGTGACTTTCTACTGACATTCGAGTGACCTTGTAATGGAATTCTAATGGTGCTTTGTACATCTTTGTACATCTTTGTACATCTTTGTACTGTATTCAGTACTGGTGCACAGGACGATCCATTCGATGCGCTTTGTCCTGGAAGGATGGAATGGAAAGCAGGTCATCCATGGTCATGACCATGGCACCATCTTCCTTGATTCCATACTCTTAGCATACCTTGCAGCATGTTCCAATAGTGCCTCCCAGTGTCTTCCTCTGCCTTCCGGTCGATCCTTTTTTCTCGCTTTCCTTAACGCAACATATGTCACTGCGAGTAGCTTGTAAGTATGCTTACACTGCTTATATAGTATCCAATATAATCCATAGCATCATCCCCATAGACTGGTCCGTTTTCACTGCTGTCAGGCCCGAGTCCGTTCTCACATCCGCACTTTCATCAGGCGGGACATGCAGCCGAACCAGGCGAGATTCGGCTAGATCGGATCAATTGGATCGAGTTGGATCGAGGCGACTGGCTGAAGTGGATGAAAGACAAGAAGAACAAGCTGTGGCTTCTTGGCAAATAAAAAGCTGCTCCATATTCTGCAGCCGAATTCAACATGAATTTTGCATTTCGACTGCAAACAATTTAAAGCAAGTTTTCGCAAGTCAAATCTCAACATATCTCAACCATGCATCTGATTTTTTTTGACTTCATTTCCTTTGAACACACTTTCCATTTTGCCATTTCCCTTTGCCGGTAACGATGCTGGAGCATGGGCCCCAGGACCGTTTCCAAAGAAAACTCACTGCGGCTTGGACAAAAAAATCCAGAAGCTCCAGAAGCACAGCCGGATTTAACGAATCAGTGGTTTTCCCATATAATTTCTCACTTTTTGGCCTTGATTGTTGGGTTTTAACAGATTTGGAATGATTTTTCAACAGACTTGGACATGTTCTTCCCTTCGGCTTGATCTGAGGCCAGCTTCATTCGCAACTTTTGGCAACTCCTGCTGCGGAAAAGCAGGTGGCATCAAATGTGACCAAGTTACAAAGTTTACAGAAGTTCAATTGTTTCGGTTCTCAATGTTTGACTTGTTTTTCAGTTTTAAGTTTTAACTTGATGTTTTGACATTAAAACAATTGTTTTAATTGTTTTAATGCCATTTTCTGCCAAGTTGATTGTTGCCAACTGCAGTTCTAGAGAAGACGTGGTGATCACGCAGACGTCTCTGGTGCAAGCACTGCTGGATCCAGAGGCGCTGTCAGATGCGAAGTCACGTCATGAGTTACGAGGAGTTACGTAGTCGTTTGAACATTTCGAACCGCAGACTTTTCTAATTTTGTACAAACTGATTCTGATGAGTTTTGTGAGATAGTTTGCTGCAAACTTGAGGCCAACTGCATTTTCCAGGAGCGTTGGAGCACTGCAATTTTCAATGTACTTTGTGATTCCCAGAAGTTGCGGTAGAGCATCAACAAGAGTTCTATGATCAAACGTCCTGTCTTGGAAACTGGTAGCAGGCAAACACGAGCCACACACTAAACTCTACACAAGAAACATGTTGACACATGTTGACAGACGTTGATCTTGTGCCAGGACCACGAGATGATTTACATGTTGCGGATTTTTGAGCACATGATGAAATTCCGCAACAGCTTGTGTCAGACCCGTGGGGAAAACGGGCAGAGCGGGCAGAACGGGCAGAGCGGTGTGCCTGTGCCCGGTCTCCCCATGAGTGGCTACATCACGGGTCTGACGTTGGTCAGCATGATCCCGACCAAGAGCGAAAAGTTGGAGCTGATCTTCGAGGCCCAGCTGGTGAATACTCTTTGGCCTTATAATATATAATTATATAACTTATATTAACTATTATATAATGAGTCCATTGTTACAGCTGAATTCTCACCATGGATCCATTGTTGTGTTCCATGTGGTTTCATGGCGAGGCTTTTGACCTGGATGCGGATCATTGCCTTCTCTACAAACAGGCGCGGTGACGCCATGGGCCTGTGGTGATCAGCATCAGCCTGTCGTGATTCATGGCTGTCGACTCTGGACATAAATCATCTATGAACAATTCGGCGTCGCCTTGAATATATAATATAATATAATATAATATAGTTGATATTGATACATTTGATATTGATACTGGCTGATCATGGCTGATCATGGCTCATGAACAGCAGCCAATCTTGATAAAGCTGGCAGATTTTCGAGCTTTGCCATTGCGTTTCAGTGCTGAAGGTCACGGGCTCAGTTTGTGAAACGTCCGTGTGTTTTAGCGGTGCTGGACGAAAAGGAAACAGAAGACCAGATTTGTTTCAAAGATGCTGAAATTCGGATGGTTTCACTTGATCATTACCTTGGTGTGCAGTTGTGGAGATTTCTCATCAATCAGGAACCTCATAGTTCCACAATTACTCAATTCGGTTTCTCGGATGAGCAGAATATCCAACTATTTTGAATTTTGAATATAAACATACCAAGAACAAAATAGAATCACACAATATCACAATTATATCACACATATCATGAAATTCATCGAGTTTTTGCATGTTCTTGTCTTTTAAAGGACATGAAAAAGTGGAATCGCAGTCACCGCAGTCAGCGCAGGTCATGGTGGAGGAGAGCGCCCGCGGATCCCCGGATGAGCACTTCCAGGCGGAGCTGTCGCAGCAGGAGCCACCGGTGGCTGGTGGGGACCACGTCGAGCCGATCGAAGGAAAACATGTTATAACCCATAGGATCCATGTATGTTATATATGGTAACATTTACCATCAATATACCCCCAATGTTACCATATATGGCATACATGGATCCTATGGATAATGAGATTGATACGACGTCATGCTACGATTGATAATGATATATAATGACGTCATGAGATTCGATCACATGACCAATTGATGTTGACATCGTGTTTCACATGTTCCATCCAAGCCGGACATTGCTCCACACTTACAATCATCATCATCATCATCATCATCATCATCACCACCAGTGTCAACTCATGTGGAAGGATCATACATCATAAGGGATCATAAATGAACCACCCCGTCTGGCAAATATGTTGAATGGGGTTATCACATCAACTTATCTTCATAAGGGATTAAAAACCCACCGCCCCCTCTGGAAAATATGTTGAATCGTGTAATCACATCAACTTATCTTCATAAGCGATGATGATGATGACGACGATGATGATGATGACGACGATGATGGTGATGACGATGATGACGATGATGACGATGATGACGATGATGACAATGATGATGATGATGACGACGATGATGGTGATGACGATGATGACGATGATGACGATGATGACGATGATGACAATGATGATGATGATGATGATGATGATGATGATGATCATAGATCACATATACATACGGTACATCTACATATTGAAAGTCCACCGACATGGCATTTCAAAAATACGCAACCTTTCCGCAATTCTGGCGCGGAGCAACGTCAGGGTTGCACCGTATATGTTTTATGACATGACACTATTGATGATTATAGAATATGATTTGATGATTGTATATGAGATTGTTCAGCATTGATCGACATCATTGACACCCACATGTTTTTCAGCAAACGCTGAGAGACTTAGCAAAACTATTCATTTTGGCCACAGGTGAATGAGCTTGTTGTCCTTTGCCTGGCCCTGGTTCGCTGTTTTGGGTGGATGTGTGATATGTAGGACTTTCAGAGGAGGGACAACACTCTGACAGGAGGGACAGCGAAGCTACGAGTGCATCCGGTGGCACTTGCAGCGCCGTGGGGTCCCAGGCCCAACTCAACCGGCGTTTCTTTTCCCCCCAACATTTTGCTGTAAAGCTTCGTAGCTTCGTTCGGAAAAGAAGTTTGCAGGAATGAGTTTGGAACATTGGAAGATCTTGTTTTTTTCAAAAGAACACAGTTTTCAAGGGTTTTCAATCGTGCTCCGGACCTGTTCGTTTCAGCTACGCCCGCGAGGTGACATTGCCAGAAGCTGAGTGTCCGGGTGGTGTGGTAGTTGTTGCGTCAAAAATGTGTCTTGCTGTGTCTTGCTGTGTCTTGTAGACCTCCAGACCTCCAGGCGACGTAATGTCTATGTTGTGCACGTATCTGAGCACGTATCTGACGTATCTACAGAGCATGTTTTGATATGACGTATGTAACAAGATGTAACAAGTAGCAACTACATTTCATCAACTACAGATGTAGCACCACACAACTCACCCAAGTACAGACAAAATGACACTATTGTCACTAAAAAACATGTTAATGACATTCTTGGACACTCTGTTGACACTATATTGACACTATATTGTCACTTACTTTGTTGGATTATCGGATTGAGATATGACATATGTGATATGCCTCCATCGTCTGCGTTTCAGGTGAGCTTTCCAGAGCTCCGTGCGGCCTGGGAGACGCAGCCGAGTTTACAATCGCTGCTTCCAGGTGGCGGGCGAGTTTGAGAAGATTGAGAACATGATGGATATATGGTACATATATGGTACATGTATGGTACATGTATGGTACATGTAGTATGTATCTTTCAAACTCTACAGGTTTGTCAACATTTCTGAGGAGAGATAGATCATGGTATTCGGATATGTTTGATTTGTGGGTTAGGACACGAGTCTTACATGGCAACAAGGCCGACCACTGTGAAGTGGCGCCTGAATTGGTGCACAGGTTGGGTGCAGATCCGTTGGGCAGCACAGGCAAGGAACCGTGCGGAGTGCGGAGCTTCTAAACCGGCAGACACAAGCAGATGCAGTGGCCGCAAGAAGGCATGTTTTGATTTTGATATGTTGAACATGTTGAAGATGTTGAACGCGTTTCATGTGTTGAATGGCATGCTCATCATGCTCTCTCTTGTTCTGTCATTGTCCAGCCCGGGGCCAAGCCGCAAAATGTGATGCATGGAGGCACTGCCGGGGGAAGACTTTTCCGCTGTCTTTGCTTCCACTTTTGAGGGCAAGAGTCTGCAACTCAGAAACTCTCAGTTATACTACTTTTGCTGAGGTGTTTGATTTTGGATCTCACCTTCTAACATTTGCCACAGATCTCACCTTTTTAGGGATGACCCTGTAGCCTCTGTTAGCACGTTCTTGCAGCTCTTGAATGCAACATACTGCGCAAGGTCGTCAGAGCCATACGAAGAGCAGAAGGCTTCTCTTCATTTCTCGTGCTTTTAGATACTTTTGGCAAAGCTGGCAGAACTGATGTCTACGTTTTCCCCTTTTCCAACCTGTTGCTGTTTGCTTCGCCTGATCTACAGCCCCAGCTCTTGCAGTCGCCGCTCTATGCAAACAGCACCTACAACTGGCCCCAGTCGAGAAGATGAGTGGTGCGTGTTCCTCTTCTGCAAGTGGGTCGTTGAATTTGAATTGGCGATGAATTTAGCACTTGGAAATGCCCACAGATGCATTTGGTGGACAAACACTCGACAAACACTCGACAAATACTTCCAACATCTTCCACATCTGTTGAATTCACGGGTGCAAGGTCTGAAGCGTCTCGCTGGCTCCTCAACGGGGTTAGCTGCCGGGGTTAGCTGCCGGCACAGCAGCTTCCCCAGCTCGAGCTCCGAGGTCTGCCCTCAGGTCCTCAGGGCAACGCGGCCATCTTCAAGTCCGTCCTGACGGCCAAGTGCGCCGCAACATGCCGTCATTCCGACAGAAGGAATTATTCCAAAATGCAATATGATGCAATTTCTGAAACCCAAAATGTGATTTGATAGGCTTTTGTGAAAACATCTCTGTGCCTGAAAGTCATGTTGACTTCCTTTTTCGCCTAGACTAGACCTTTGCAGGTTCTCGAAATCTCTTCGGGATTTGGGAAACCGACGACTCGTTTGGCCCTTACATTCTCAAGTGTTTCATGAAGGTCATGAAGTGGTTGCAAGAGTGTCATGATAAGAATTTAAGTTTGATCTAAAGTGTTTCAACTTCACTTATGAAACTTCTTACCAAGTAAGATCTCGTATACTCACGCGATCTCACGCGGCTTATCCGGCATCTGAGGTGGAGCTGACAAGAGACTTTGAAGTCCGTCGCCGTTCCATCAGCCGTGGACTTACCATGACCGACTCGGTTTTGAGGTGTCCATACTGGGTGCAGTGTCCATAGGTTTCTTATGGTTTCTTTTTCGGTAAAGTTGTGACATGGCCACATGGCCATTGTTGGTACTCAGAACCCCCTCAGATTGCCATGTTTTGCGCACCTTGAGAAAGACGCTCTGGAGACTTAAGGTGATGCAAAAGATGGAAAAGGAGCTACAAAAGGCCTCAAGGCGGGAAATTAAACTAGACTAAGATCTATTTAGACAGGTTGCTTTACGCAATTTCTCAATCTTTACGTTATTTTTGAAACCAAACTGCTGAGAGCTACCGACTTTGAAGGATGTCAAGGAGGTCAGCACCAAAGATGCAGAGGCACCGATTTTCTGCACCATGTGTCTTTATCTGCCACTAAAACCTATTTAACTCATAGGAGAATGCCGGATCCAGTTTCAATCTATACCGGTACAGTAGTGTGTCTCACTATGTTTTAGTGTTTCAATATGGACATGTTGAAGAAATGGCAGGGCTTGAAGGAGTTGAGGGTTGCATGGAGCCACTTGCAGTGCTTTCATCAGCGAGTTTAGGCAGGCCGGCTTCAAACTTTTTGGCTCCAGCGTTGGCATTAGATGCCTAGAGAAGGAATGTGCAAAAGAGCTAAAGAGCCACGAGTTCAAAGGAATTTCAGGTGGAACAGTTGAAACAGTCCGGTGAGATGCGGGTGCAGCTTTATATGCTCCGGAATTCAGTCTCCCTATGTCTCCCTCACATTGTCCAATCCGAAGATATCCGAATCGCATTATATTGGATTTGAAAAGAGAAGTCTTTCCATATCTTTCCACAATTGGCATGGACAACGGCCTGAGTCTGGCCACGGACATGCCTCATTTTTTTTTGCCAAAAAATCCAAAAATTCTCGGGATTTGATCGCGAGCTGTTGGAATCGACATTGCCAGGTTGGAATTGACATGAATTGACTTTGGAATCTAACAACCTGTTTTTCCCGAGAGCGCCTGCGAAGGGTTCTTCGTAAAAAAGCAGCCGTTATACTAGATCTTCACACCTTCACACCTGCAGATCTAGATCTTCACACCTTCACACCTGCAGATCTAGATCTTCACACCTTCACACCTGCAGATCTAGATCTTCACACCCTTCACACCTGCAGATCTACATCTTCACACCTTCACATCTCTAGCTGATCTAGATCTTCACACCTTCACACCTGCAGATCTAGATCTTCACACCTTCACACCTGCAGATCTAGATCTTCACACCTTCACACCTGCAGATCTAGATCTTCACACCCTCACATCTGCAGATCTAGATCTTCACACCTTCACACCTGCAGATCTAGATATACTAGATCTTCACACCTTCACACCTGCAGATCTAGATCTTCACACCTTCACACCTGCAGATCTAGACTTCACACCTTCACACCTGCAGATCTAGACTTCACACCTTCACACCTGCAGATCTAGATCTTCACACCTTCACACCTGCAGATCTAGATCTTCACACCTTCACACCTGCAGATCTACATCTTCACACCTTCACATCTGCTGATCTACATCTTCACACCTTCACACCTGCAGATCTAGATCTTCAGACCTTCACACCTGCAGATCTAGATCTTCACACCTTCACACCTGCAGATCTAGATCTTCACACCCTCACATCTGCAGATCTAGATCTTCACACCCTCACATCTGCAGATCTAGATCTTCACCCCCTCACACTGCAGATCTAGATCTTCACACCTGACACCTGCAGATCTAGATCTTCACACCCTCACATCTGCAGATCTAGATCATCACCTCTTCACACCTTCACACCCAGATCTAGATCTTCTACCTTTCACCTGCAGATCTAGATCTTCACACCTTCACACCTGCAGATCTAGATCTTCACACCCTCACATCTGCAGATCTAGATCTTCACACCCTCACATCTGCAGATCTACATCTTCACACCTCACACCTGCAGATCTACATCTTCACACCCTCACATCTGCTGATCTACATCTTCACCCCTCACATCTGCAGATCTACATCTTCACACCCTCACATCTGCAGATCTACATCATCACACCCTCACACCTGCAGATCTAGATCTTCACACCCTCACACCTGCAGATCTAGATCTTCACACCTTCACATCTGCAGATCTCTTCTTCGCTCTTCCCCCTCTATTCTCTGTTCTTACGGCTGTGGCGGTGCCGCCGGAGCGCCACGAAACGCAACCCTTTCACACGAAATGGACGTTGGACGTCCAAAACCTAGGTAAAATTGCGATTTTGAAGCGTCCCGCGCAACCCTTTCGCACGAAATGGACGTTGGACGTCAAAAACTGAGGAAAAGTTGCAACTTTGAGGTGTCCCGCGCAACCCTTTCGCACGAAATGGACGTTGGACGTCAAAAACTGAGGAAAAGTTGCAACTTTGAGGTGTCCCGCGCAACCCTTACGCACGAAATGGACGTTGGACGTCAAAAACTGAGGAAAAGTTGCAACTTTGAGGTGTCCCGCGCAACCCTTACGCACGAAATGGACGTTGGACGTCAAAAACTGAAGAAAAATTGCAACTTTTATTGGTCGCGCGCAACCCTTTCGCACGAAATGGACGTTGGACGTTAAAAACTGAGGAAAAGTTGCAACTTTGAGGTGTCCCGCGCAACCCTTACGCACGAAATGGACGTTGGACGTCAAAAACTGAGGAAAAATTGCGACTTTGAGGTGTCCCGCGCAACCCTTACGCACGAAATGGACGTTGGACGTTAAAAACTGAGGAAAAAATGCGACTTTGAGTTGTCAATCGCGACCCTTACACACGAAATGGACGCATCTGCGTGTAAAAGCGTCTGTGTGTAAAAGCGTCTGTGTGTCAATGCGTCTGTGTGTAAACGCGTTTGTGTGTGAAAGCGTGTATGCGTGTGCAAAACGCATCTGCGTGTAAAAGCGTCTGCGTGTAGAAGCGTCTGTGTGTAAAACCGTCTGTGTGTAAAAGCTTCTGTGT